GCGGGTGTGAAACGATGAGGTAAAAAAAGAAAAATAGAAAAAGTGACAAGTGACACTTCGTAAGAAGCACGAAACGAATAAATAATACTCTCTTCTACCGCTTTGTCTTCTACCTTCGCACATGAGTGATGGACTCGAATCACGCTCTGTAAATTTATCAGAGGCGAAGAAAAAAGGGGAGGGAAACCGTGACGGGAGGGAACCACGTGAAACGAACAGGCGATAAAAGAATGAGACAATCGCGAGGAAGTGCAACAACGGGAACGACGCAGAGGGTACTTTATTTAATTTTCGCAACTCACGAAACACATCCTGCACTGCACGTGTCCCGAAACCCGCGAAGAGCTTCTCGAAGAGCCGCGCTGCGCCTTTGCATCGCAGATCGTTGCCTCTTCGGCGAATCGCCTCTTCGCGGAATCGATTTCCGCTTCTCGCGCGCGAACGCGTTTGCCTGCAACAAAACTCGTCCGATTATTACCGAGTATTCGCGAAATAATGACGGTAGCTGGGGGAGAGAAGGGGGCCCCGTTACGCTAATAATCGTGATTGTTGCACCGAATCGGCGCCGAAATTGCACCGCTGCGTATAGTCACGTCCGGAGCAAACGAAAACGAACGCCACGAATAAATAGTCATTAATTATTAATTCTGTGATTTTTCTAACCAAATTCTTCGAACAGAATTTAATACACTAAATTCTTACAACTTATTTTAATCGATCTCTGACATTATTATTTTATAACCTTAATAGCACACGTATATCCAAAAAATGTTTAAAGGATGTTTAAATGTCCTTTAAATATCCTCCGAACGTCTTTCGGATATGTTGCGCTGTTAAGGAAATAATGAATATTACAGTACGGAACATAATTTAATTCCAAGTCAATTGCGCGTTGGGCAAGAATGATTGCAGCACGCATTTTTTTTTTAGCATTTTAATTACGCGATAACGCGTCTTGATAAATTGGCGGCTAAAATCGCCTCTTATTAATCAGTTATTAAACTCAATGCGCGCCGCGAATCTGACAGATCGACCTTTCCGTTTGGCCCTGCGATCGATCAGTGATGCATCGCGTTACATTGTAACCTTTCGATTGGTACGCGCGCTTTGTATATAATCCCCCTCGAAACATATAATATATTCGACATCGTCGGACATGATCCGAATACATAGTGACTCCGGGACTTTTGTTCGAAACGTTTACCTCGCGAGTTATCGTCGCTGCACAAAAGTGAATTTACAATTCTACTTTTGTTCAATTAATTCCATTGAACGATATTTAATGCATATCGATTACTCACATCGTAGACCTTGCAAAATGAATAAGATTTCAGTATATAATATGTACTTGAATTTTTTTCGTTACGCCACAGTACAATTTAATAGTAAACTTGATAATCTCGGGGATGTGAAATTAAACTTCATTAACATAAATAGCAGTTGAGCAATTAGCAATCGGCTAGGTGTATATTGTTCCGAAGAGATACATCTCGACGTGTTTCCGAGATGGGAAATCACGGTCGATCCGCGATAGGTCTGTGAAACGACGTAGTTCCGATTACGTGCTCCCGTATCTCTCGGGTGCTACCTCATTGTTCCGGAAAAGTATGTAAAAGAGCGAGTAGCGATAAAAAGAACGCCCGATTGTCACACGCGAGAAAAAGAGAGAGAGAGAGAGAGAGAGAGAGAGAGAGCGCAGAGAAGCGCATGCGGTGCAAGGACCGAGGTGCATTTTACGCATTTTGCGTATACGTATATATATACGCGATGCCACGTATATATACCATGCAGCGGCCTTGAGAGAGGTTCTTTGTGCGTTCACTGCGCGCGAGCACACGTACACCTACACAGAGCCGAAACTGGCTCGCGCCGTTACATATGCATACACTGTAACAAGTTGCGTTGCACTTATGTACAAAGGGCGCTCCATGTGACTCACGTGCTGGCATATGCTACCGTCTTCGTTTCTCTCTCTCTCTCTCGTTCCTCCCAGTGTTGATCTTTCTTTTCTTCTCTCACTCTCCCACTCCATCTATTTACCTTTTTCTTTCTCCCTCTTGTTCTCATTCCTATATACATATATGCACATGTGTGTGTATAAATAGGTATATACCGCGCTCTTCTTTCTATTTTCTGTGGTTCTTCTCTCTCTTTGTCGGTCGACGTCTCTATCCTTCTTCACCGTTCACGTTCGAAGTGTGCACATAGCTCGATCCAGATATATACGCCAAAGTGCACACATGAGACCACGAAGAGTGCATGCGGGTGTTGGCCACGTGCGCGATGCACTTTTTGCTCGCGAGGCAACCTTCGCCTTTTATGCGTCTCTCTCTCTCTCTCTTTCTCGCGCGCGCGCGCGTTCCTGTGCCGGAACTTTATGCCCTTTTCAGCGATTTGCCACGACGAGCTTTTTGGTACACGCCGTTGAACAAAGGTGATACGAAAACCGCACGCGAGATCGCCGTGTGTTTTTCGCAAAGTGCGGAAATACTTCGTCGAGTTTTTCTTTTATAACGACGCTGTCGAGTAAGAGAGATGTGTAGTTAATCGTTCTCGAGGTTTCTTGTGCGATATATTTTATGAAATTCTAAGAGGATTCATTTAATATCTCGTTTTGAAATATAAACAGAAATCTTTTTATCAGTGCTGTGATGTTTTTATTTTTGTATTCAATTATATGCATTATTCCAACAAGTCTCTTATACTCTTTATATAATATGTTCCTCTTTATTTCATGTTTGTCTAACTTTAGAATAATCGATTTTATAATACATTATTATTCGATAATTGATATTTTTATCTAGCTCTATAATAAGACAACTTATCTTCGATAAATATATGGCCTTTTCGATTTATTCTGTTACGTTTTCTTACGAAATGCATCTGTATATACATACTCACAGATTTATATCTTTTATAGTGTTTGTGCGTATTAGCCGAGTAAATCGATTAGAAATCAATTTCCAAAGTACGATGTACGTGTCTCGCGGCTGAATTATAGGTAACTCTCGCTAATCTCTCCATCTTAGGCCACACTTTACGTCGCAATAATAAATATCGAGTTCGATTATTATAAATCTCCGCGCAAAGGTTCTTTCCAAAGCATTCTCACGCGGGCCACGTCAAGTGACATTTGGCTGGAAAAGCAGGTAGAAAGCAACGGGGCGTCGATGCCACACATGTTTTGCAAGCAACGAAAAGTGCGGCCGACCGCATCTCTCTCTCTCTCTCTCTTTATGTCGCGGATGCTGCAGACTCTCGACTCTCGAAGATTCCGCTAATCGAGTGTAGGTGACGACGATGTGTGTGCCGTTGCACAAGTGAAAGAGCCCCGGGGCTTCTACTCGAAATGTCAAGGATGCAACCATGTGCGCGGTTACTCGCGCGAGAGGAGGAGGAGAAAAAGAAGGGTAGGGAGGAAGAAAAGAGGGATGGATGCACGTATACAGAGAGTCCACGAGACAATGGACGACCGGGAGGCACGGTAGGATTGTTATTTTGTCACGCATGAGGCTCTCTCCGTGTATCCATCCGTCGCGCGAAATGAAAAGTGGCCGTGTCTAAATGTTTCTGGAGCCTCGCAGTACGGTGAGCAGCGGCTTGGTGGATAGATACTGCTTTCACCGCTTCACTTGGATTCGTACGACGGGTCTTTCAAGGTTGCAACCGCGAGAGCAGAGGATCGTGATGATATCGTGCGATTCTGTTTCGTAACGCGCGCGAGACAAGTGTCTTCTCCGCGTGATGCCCCGTTATCTCTTGTATAGGGAAGGAGTGACGTCATCTGCCACTTTGCGTGCGCCGATATATCCGACAATGCAATCGTATATCTGCTATATTGATTATACAAGATGAAGAAATATTTATTTATATAACTAGCTATCTCGGGGGTAAATATTAAATTATATTCCGAGCTCTCTCGAGGAAAAACTATGTGGTCATTTGATTAAGAAAACTCTGCGTTAGTATAGTATTATAGTTGCTATTATATCGATGACGCGAAAGGAAAGGAAACAATATTATCTGGACGGCAAATATAATAAGCAACGACATAAGTACGCAGTTGAAAGCTTGTCATTCGGTAGCAAAAGAAACCTCGGCCACGACTCGAGGCTTTATCGATGAGGACTGTTCTATGAAATCGTAGCCGTTGAAGATAAAAACATGTACACATCTAGACACGAGACAGGCAGTCTGCCGTAAGACGTGATAACGCACGTAATCCAAGCATAGATAGCGAAACATATATTTGTCGAGCTCGCGAGGCAGCCTGATTCCATCTGACGTCTCTCATTATGATACTGTTGACGATTGTTGTATATCGTCGAAGAAATGCGTTCGCAAATTTAAACTTACCCTTTGTGCCAAGGAAATTAAACACCAATATGATTATTTATAGTAACTATATATTTATTACATCCTGCATATAGATATAATCGCTTAGAGAGCACGATGGATATCATATTTCCTATAATATCGTTTTATCTAAACTCGTGTTTACATATACATATATGACTCAAGAGATTCTCTCTAACGCGCAGCAAATGTCGAAACTGCGAGAGTAGAAGGTTGTCGAATCACCCGTTAGAAATTTTAAAGCGATCATTACTCAACAATGTCGTTCTCGCCATACCCGGACTGCATGCATGCTCACCTTGCAACGAGCACTTTGTGGTATTAAAACCTTATAAGCGAAGTAACTGTCTCACAAGCATATTCCAGTCACCAGGAATGAAAAGTCACTATTGTGTGACGTAATTTGCGTGTAATCAATTGCTGTTATGAGCGAAGTGTTATTGCATTCGCGCACGTTGGGAGCTGTAAAACGCGATCATTATTAATTTACATATATACACATCACGCGAGTGCACGTTCAATGCATTCGCAACGACATAATCCCAGAATAATTTTCTAATTTACATCGAAATGATCTTTCCCTATACGCATAGTAAATCCTTAAGGAATAATCTTAAAGGAAAATTGTTCTTTTCTCGTTTCAGATCGCGCGCCTCGCAATCCCGAGGCCCAGCAGCCGCCTCTGGTGATCTTTCTGCAACCCGGCGGCAGCTCCGAGGATCTCTCGAATCTGCCGTTGCCGGATCTGGTGCAGTCGGCGGTGGATCAGCTGCCGCCGCCCCAGGTGACAGTTTCCGTCCCCAACAGCCCGATGAGAGACGCGACCTTCCAGTTCCCCGAGTGCAACAGCGGCGGCGCGCCGCTGCCAAGCCCAAGGCCACGACCGCGAAGACGCTTCGCTTCCGAGAGTTCCGTCATGGAAGCGGGCCCGCTCGAGGTGAGCAGCTGCAACAACGGTAGCTCCTGCTGCTGTCTGATTCTCAACGAGAGGCAGTCGTGGTCGAGCATCGGTGCCAATCTCAGGAATATCGCCGGCGACTTCCACGCGTGCAGGACCAAGGTCGGTGTTTCACGTGCTATAGATCATTATTTCGCAATCGCGATTCAATCGCGAAGGAATGCAGATTGCGGATCTACAGAGTGTGGAGAATAACGGTGTTCTTCAATTACATTGACAATGAGATCCAAGCAGTTTGCATTCTTTCTTCCGCGCGAATTAATATTGCTATTTGTATATGGGAAACATGATTGGAAGGTTTGGCAAATTTTTTGGCCAGCTTACGAGATTAGTTGTATTTTTCCTCGGTAATTTTCCGAATATGCTGACGTTGTCGTCGCCGTTTTCTGTTCTATTCGCCGCTGATGGCATAATACGAAAGCAGTTTACGGTGAGAGGAGTACAGGTGTAAAATACCTCGTATAAAAATTGTACGGCACCCGTTTTCGCGCACGCACGGGAGCCATCGTGTAACTTTTCACTCCACGCGTCGCAATTTCATCTTCCCCATGAAGGCTTTTATTCGTCATAAAGCCACCCTTGCGTCGCGGGTATTATAAAACGTAACGAATACGCGCAACGAGAGGTCCTCCGGCGGGTATTTAGTTTAAAATTTCGCTCACCCTCGGACCTCCTATTAAATTCCTATCGTTTAATTCACAAATTTTACTGTCGGTTTTATAAACGCGTATATATACGTCTTTCTATTTCCGTACAAGACATTTTATTCGCGTATGAATTTTTCTGCGAAGCCCTGTGTGACGGGTTCTAAAATAACTTCAGCTCGACATAATTAAAATTGACATTTTCCCTTCTATGAAATTCATCCGAGTATCTTATTATTTCAATACATTCACGAACAGTTCTTCTATATCCGTCCCGTCTGATTGGTCCATATTTATCCCAACACGACATCGCGAATCTGGGCGAGGAATCGATTTCGGCCGAGAACGAACCGGATAAGATCCAGAGATCCTTCCTTTTGATATCCCAGAATTTAATAGCGTCGCGAATGATTCAGCGCTTCCCGTTTCGCCTCGAAACTTCCAGGCATTTCATCGCGCGATGGATTCCGTGGCTGGAAGATGTGTTTCTTCCTCTAAGAAAGATATAGAAACTACTATCGTTGTTCGTGGGCGGGGCCCATAAACGCGAATTTAGTTATATCAGAGTTATATACCGATGATGTAGGTGTATATATATACGTGTGCCTGCGTGTCCCACGGGTGCAATAAATATCGGCTTCACCACCGTCGAGACGTCTAGTATTGCCCCCCGTGTGCACGTGCCCCGTGCTACTGGCACTTCATCAAAACTCCACCCGTCCCCCCTTTCAACCCCCTCCGCGGCTCGGTCGTTCGATCAAATATGTATCGCCGACCGGTATAGTCCTTCTCCGGGATTTTACGACGGTTCTCCTCTCTCGTTTGCGGTCGCAAGAAAGGAGGCAGCGATTGTGTGCGTATTGGCGAACGAGCGGATAAGAGAGATGAATCGGGAGACATTTGGTATGGTGTAGCAGAGGTACGTAATGTCATCATCTGCGAGATTAACGCGATGCGAAACGGTGTCTACGATATTATCTTGACGGATCGATAATCTCGCGCATTGGTAGCTCGAGAGAAAGAGATTATATATACGGAAGATTATTCCCCGACTCTTTTGCTAAGAAGAAACGACTATGGTATCTTTCCGCGCTGCGGCGAATAATCAATTGCGCTGTAAACACCTCTTTTCTAGAGATCGCAATCCTTACTTGTTGACAATTTAAATTTCAAACGCACTTCCAACACATTCTGTTTGATTACGAATGCGCAATCCCTTGTTTATCTATTATTAATCGAGACAACCATTATTACGGGATAGTAGTATTTGTGTCGATAATTTATTCGACTCATCGTTTTGCGGAATATGCGAAAGAAATTATTGAACGCAATTATCGCGGCAAGTTTCTGATTACTGCCTCGACAGAGTTACGAGATATCCGTCCCCTCGCCATTAGAAGACTACAGAGAGTCGTTCAATCAAATATGTATCGATGAGCGAGACAATTCTCCCCGAGACGACTCTTGTTTGCCGTTGCGGATTGAAAGAAAGTGAATGGCGGGAAGAGGATGAGACACATTGATAGGGGAGAAAGGACGAGAAATGGAAGAGAAGGAAGTAAAGAGAAGAGAGTAGGAACACAAGGGTGGAAAAAAGGATGTTCCTCTTTTATTTCGCCTCGCTTTATCCGCTTTAAAGGTTCGCCGGCGTGATACCCAATCCCGAAACGTCTAATTATTGCTGGTTAAGTGCCGGTAATTGAAGGGGACGAACAGACCCGTGAAATTGAAGAAATCCTTCCTCCTTGTCCGCCTGCGGAGGAGATCGGATACCGATCGGTAACTCGAGGAGCACCTTGTTGATAATACGAATCTCCGAGGATAGGGTCATCTTTATCCTACTTCCTTGTTTGCGCTGGGAGAAATTGAAATGTCAGATTAATACCACTGGCGAGTACATAATTGCGCCTTGTTTTACGTCTACATCGCTTCATAAATATCGAAATTTAAGCTACTCCGTCATTCGAGAAAATTCACTTCAAAATTTTGCTTCAACACTTGTTGCATCTGTCAAATTTAACTTGTTATATTTTCATTCTGACACTTCCTCGTGTGACAAGACCGCACGTGGCTGACATACGTCATCGTCAAACAATATTTTCGCTAAATAAATTTGCAAATAAATGTGAGATGTAGTCGTCACGCGACCACGTGATGATCAAAGTTCGCCACCGAATCGCAGTTTTCGCGACGCGCTCTTCGCGGCCTAGACTTCCGGGAATACGTCATAAGTGACGGAAGATCCTCTCTCGTATCCGCTGTCTCTCTCCCTTCTTCTCGCGTCTATATCCATCACAGGGAAACCACCGACGGCGCTTTACATATGCATGGAGAGTAAGCGAGCATGTAAACGGCTAAGTGGCCACATCCCCTTACGTGAAAGTTAAGTGGGCATGGCAGCACGAGCCGTGGCCACAGGCCGAGAAAATTATCTTCAATTATCTCGTGCAATCGGAGCCCTCGCCCTCCCCTTCGCCGCTTGTTCGCTCCTACTCCGCGATCTCGCTCTTTCGATTAGCCTTTCGACTGATCGTCGCTTCTAACACTCGCTCGCGGTAAATGGAATAGTACGCATTTTCGTTGACCTCCGCGGCGAAGGAGGGGTGCACCTGGCTAACTCACTGGTTTTATGTAATGTACAGGATTATGAGTGAGCGGGCGCATAAAACACGGGATATATAGCTGCACCGTCGCTGACGTGTCAGAAACAGGGAAATAGCCGACTCTTCTCGCCGTATTGCTCGGAAAATTGAAGTCAGGCAATTTCCCTTTGCGAGGAGGAAATACTGATACCCAAACACTCCGAGAGACTCATTATTCGCGAATAGACTCGAATCCTCGTCTCGTATATCGAAATGTCTTGAAAAAAAAAAAAATGTTTGCCAAACGATCTCGTCTAATCGATCCTGGCGCGAAAAACCTCGCGGAAAACTGCGTCTCGCGAAATAACTCGCCTGACATTTATCTAGTGGTTTAAACGATCTGACCGACGCGCAAATTGATACATTAGTATTATACCCTCCTCGCGATGAGATAACGGATCTTTCGCGATGGCGCAACATGGTGGGAGAAGGAGGGCAGGGAGGGATTCGACGCAAGAAAGTCGTCGATATTTCTTCGGTCGTGTTGCCTATACGTGTTCGCCGCACGCAAACCGCTTAACTCTCTCGTTACGTCTTATTTTCACCTTCGCCGGTGTACCCACACTCTCTCGCGACGCCACCACCGCTCTTTTGCTTGCTATCCTCTCGTGGCCGCGCTACTGCGCGTAATCTGCGCGCAAATTTATAACGCTTTGTCACGCGGCGAGTGCAAACTTCCCGCTCGTTTCTGCTTTATTGAAAACGAGAGAAAATTATTATCTCTGTATACACTACACCGTTCGATTTCGCCTGCCGGCACCGTTTAGTCGATAATTTATATAATACTCTATGCATCTAACGCGATATATGTAATATAATAATAATAATAATAATAATAATAATAATAATAATAATAATAATAATCCACTTGAGATAGGCGACCGCCTCGCGAAAAATAGTGAAAGTCGTTAGTAATTTCTGCAATACTACGGTAATCAGCATTTACATATATGCAGTTTATTACTACGAGTACGGAAATCGTAGAAATTAATGAGATATATAATCAACATTTAATTAACAATCATATAAGTAATATGTATAACACGTTAGACCGAGATAAAATAAGAAATGTATTTTTGTTCAAATTCGACGCGTCGCCTCAAAGTGCATCCGCGATGTTCTCCCTTTTCGCTCTCGCTCTCGGAGATGACACTTTTGCTACCGCGGATTGATTCGAGCGGGTATAAGCTGCAGGCGCAGCTCGTTTTGCATTGCGCGACCTACCGAACGAGTGGCAACCGCAACTTCTGTTTTCCATCAGCTTTTTCTTACTACCTAGTCTCCGCGGCAAAACGTCGGAGCCCGGGCGATTGGCCGTTTCCACGGCAAACCACGCAATTACGTTGCACAATAATTCATCTTACCAGTAGTCGCGCGTGGCTGTAAAGGCCTCTCTATCGCGCCACGTTTCTGGAACGAAGACGGAAAGAAAAAGAGAGAGACAAATACGAACGATTCGTTTAGCATCGCTCTCTTTCTATCACGAAAGTCGCTCGTGCGTAATCGTTTTTTGGCATCCTTTTCCGTGACGATCGAATTCGCTATAAATCGGCGCGAGCGTGATTTTTATCTCGATGATTTATCTCACCGCACGCAAATTGATTTACTTTGCGCGACGTATAAAAGGAAATAAGCGAAATTCTTATTTCGTTCACTATTGTAATGGTCGCTATTCTTCTTTTTTCTTATTTATTAGTTCAGCAAATGCATATATCGATAGCCTCTATATGGGATGAAAGCGCGAAAATGCGATATATTGATTCTCTCCTTTTGCAATACACTTGAAGAATTGGTTGCGGTTGGCAGTACGCAATCACTGGGAAATTTGCATTTTACGATTCATCCGTCGTAAAGAGCGCGCGCTGCATCTTTTCTAACAGTTTACTTTCCTATCTATTTTTTTATATTTTTGATCGTATGTTTTACTGTCATATTGTGATATATGTATTATAATTGTATGCGTGTGGCCTTGTTTTTTTTTCCTTTCTTGAAATCTATTAGGATTGACTCACATAGGTATATCGTGACGGTGCATTTTCCTTTGTTTAAACGCACATCGAATACTTCAATTTCTGACAATAATTTTACGTGTTCTCTCTATATAAAATTTCTTTAAAAATTATAAAAATAAGTTATAGAGATGCAACACATTTTATAGTTAAAAAGAATATTTGTCACGTTCCATTTCGTATATAAGTTTTGACATAAAAAATTGTTCCGCTCGTAAACGAATCGTATGTATTTCTCAAACAGGCGTTCTCTCTCGTATCGTGGGGTCATAAAATAACAGCAATACTTGTATAACTTTTTTATACGGAGAAGTAACGGTATATTTTGGAGAGAGACGGAGAAAGAGAGAAAGTTCATCCCGTGGTTATTGTCGCAGGTGGTCAGATCTCGCAGCTTCCTCGTATGTGTTAAACATTAACGGGGATGGATCACGGATGATGATCTCTCCCCGTGTTTTGCGGAGACTCACCCTACGGAATCAACGCGTGATTCCGCGGCGAAGGAAGGGACACTATTAATTGACGAATAGAACTCTCACGACGGAGCACTCTCGCGCCCTCCCACATAATTCTCCCTTAATGTGACGTTTCTCGTCTACTCTTACTTTTCGCCCTATCCACATCCGAGATAATCTTTTTTCTCGCGCCGACGACGAATCGAATGTTTTTCCCGCGTGATTGCGAATGTGCCCGATTCTCTCTTTCTCTCTCTTTTCATGGGGTCGAACCAGCGACGCTGTCCAGATATTATGGTCGTCCCATAAAAGCCCGCCTCGGTGATTGGACTTTCCCCGGGCGTTTATTATTGCACGTCCGGTCCGCAGCGAGTGGATTAAGACGAGACGGGAATCGGAAGTCGCGGGTCGGAGCCGAGATAACGTCGTCGACGGGGGAGGGAATGGAGAAACAAAAGGAACCCTTCGGAGTTAATCGTCCTGCGGCAGGAGATTGTTCTTTCACGCGAGATATTACGAGATCGTATCGCGTCGAAAGATCCGCGATAATTTTCTCGGACTTTTGGCTAGGTCCGGTGTAATGGAATTTTTATACAATTTTTCTCTTTGTATTATAGCCTATACATGAGGTCACTTTTCTATATTTTACAGAGATATAGCAATTTTTTTTAGCATGACGCGTCATCGCGCTTTAAATTGTTTATAACTTGTCTCGAAAAAAATTTTAAATTTTCCGACAAAAGATGTTTTCATCGATATTACCGCGAACGAATTTTCGCGGCAAAAAGATCCGCAAGATGATCTCGCCAGTGTCTTCCTTAATGCAGCGTCCTCGCGATACGCGGAATCATTACGTACCGGATATTATATATCGATTCATATCCGAGGATAACGCAGGCTAATTGGGTAATAAGTATCGTTCATAAGTACGTCCTAACGGAATTCCTTTTGCGCCCGAGCCATTTGCGCGATCCTGGCACAGAGTCCCGTCGCGGTTACCAACACTAGTAGCCGCGAACGCAGCGAAATGGAAGTTAATTGGGTAATTAGTGTCGTTAATAAGCAAGCTTTAATTGAACTTTTTTTTACGGGTCGCGAATGGTTTACGCGTTCGTAAAGGAAAACGTAAGGGGAGTAGACGCGTGTGGACTTTGCGAGACGCGATCTTTTTCCCCTCTACAGCATCGTCGTCGTCGTCGTCGTCGTCGTCGTTTCTCCGTGTAAATTCGTAGGGATAAGGGGACTCGATAAAACGACCGCGCCGCTTTTTCTTCCCCTTTTTTTTCCTTCGAAGGCTTAGCCGCAAGAGAGTGCCGGATCGTCGGTAATTCCGTCCAATTAGGACACTCCCAATTAGGAACCTTAACTCCGCGTTCGTTCCTTTCCGTACCCCAATCTCCGACTTTCCGCATCTACTACGCGGAGAGAGACTCGCGACAGGTCGCCTTCGCCAAGTCTTCGCGAAAGTATCGGAGAAACTCGGTTACGCTCGCTTATTTCTGCCTGTTTATTTCTACGGAGATATTTCGCGATTATAATCGCTAGTGTCACAAGCCTATTTTATTTAATCCACGCAATTAAAAAAAAAAAAAACCCCCGTTTTCTATTACACATCTGCAACTAAAAGCTCGTCATGTTTCGACCCATCATATATATATATTTCAGCGCTTGAAAAATATTAAATTTCAGCGACACTATTTATTCACATGACGGAACCGAATGATACCGAACGATTGCGATGTTGGTGTTGCAGGATGCCGAGATCGAGAAATCGAGATTGCCGGTCATCGGACCGGGCCTGTCCAACGGTCGCAACAGCAACTCGTCGTCCACCGACAGCCTGCTGTCGTTGCTGATCCCGACGCCGCTGCGAGAGACCCTCTGGGCAACGGTGGCCCTGTACCTCGGCTGGAGACTCGTCTCCCGTCTGCGATAGACGCGTCGGCCTCGCCGAAGCCATCGTTCCCGCCGACTCGATCGGCGACCGGAACGATGACGTTTGACGGAGCCGTTAGAACGGATGGACTTCCGCCAGCGATTCCCTTCCGGGTGTGTCTTCCGGAAGTCCTGGAATCCGTGTGGACCGGACTGATCGTCTGGAGAGGAAGTGGACAGCAGTCTGCGGCGCGGATCTCACTTTGTGATCGGACGGATGGAATGACTCGAGGTATCGAGGAGACAAATGTCTCTCTCGTTTTAAGTATATCCATTCCGATAACTCCGATTGTATTTTGTATATCTGTTTTTGTATCTTAAGCGTCCCTGTTACGCGCGACCACGCGAGAATGCGCTTGAATGACTTCGGTCGGTTCCCATTTGATTGAGGGACCATTCGACTGCTTAGAAGATATTGATGTAATTGATCGATATGACGATGAAAGTACTGATGATCGGTGTTTCTCATTCTCGATAATTAATTTTATCATTGATTAACTTTATAATATAATAACATTAATATATTGATTTACTTGATAATTGAGTATTAGGATAATTGATGATGATATGAAAAAATATTGATATGATAAATCGATAATAATATCTAATGATAAATGGCATAAATGTGATAATTGATAATCGATTGATTCAGCGAAGATCAGAGTCGCTCTCTATGTAACGTGTTTCCCTTCATCTCCTTCAGGGACGAATGGGTAAGAAAAGATCTCTGATTGGGAAGCTATCCGCGGATTTCTTGATTATTTTCTGTCGATTAAATCGACACCTCGGCGCTCGCCCGATCTATTTCGATCTCGCTGCTGTTCGTCGCGAGAGTCGCGTGCTGTCGAGAAATTATGACTGTGATTGATGCCGTGGAGAATGATGGGGCGAGAGACGGCGAGAATCACCAAGTACAAGCGCATTCTCGCGCGATGCGGGAGTCATTCTCTCTGTACGTTCGCCGATAATTCGCCCCGCGAAAGACAGAAAGGGGAGTTTTAGGGGATAGATAATCCGGGCGAGAGTAACCGAATTGCGTATTACGTATAATCGCGTCGATCGAGACAGGACGCGAGATATAGAAAGGAGAGGGTACAGAGGGACGAGCCAAGGACGAGATCCAAAGAGGATTAAACCCAATAATCAAATGATGATCTCATTACGGATAAATAAAGAGAATTAAATAAAGTAGTGTGATTACACGGGAGCGAGAGAGGGCGGACCACAACGTCCCTTATTCTCCGACGTCTTCTCTTTGCGCGTCCGTTCCTCTCTTGGTCTCGCCAAGATAGAAAAGACTACTCTTTCGACGTGCGGTTTGTATAACGCGGTCTCCCTACCGATACTCGACGGGACCGAAACAAACACAAATTTCTTCCGACGCCGCGCGACGACATTTCGCAAGGATTGCTCAATGTACATTTGATCCGATGACATCGCGAACCTAATCAACGAATCTATTCCGTTTGAATTAACAATCGATCGGCCTTGCCAGATGTCGGAACGCCGTGACCGGAAATACGTATGTATATATAAGACGATCGAGAGGGATGACGACGTATTCCAAAAAAAAAAAAAAAAAGAATGTAAGAGAATAGGGGACGAGCGAGGAGAGACAGGGGAGCAAACTTGTGTATGTATAGAGGATTTTTATCTAAAATAATAAACAAACTCAGTAAAATAAGTCGATGTTATAATAAATAATTAAAATAGATAATCGATTATATAGGCCGAGGATCGCAGCATCTTGATTGGCTAGCTGCGACTCCCGTGGACAGTTTTCAAATGATCTCCGGTAGCTTAGCTATTAGGTGGGCGCCCTCGTCCATGCGAGACGCCTTTCGCGACACATCGGAAGGAGCACCTCCCTCTTTCCTGTGCGTACTTTTTCTACAACTCGTCTATATCCTTCTCTTTCCTTATCTTTCTACCCCCTTTTTTTCCTTTCGTCAGCAAATTGTCTTATCGATTCTCTCGCTCTGACTCACCTGTGTTCTCTCAGTTTTCTACGCGATTCTTCCCTCTTCTCATTTTATTTCACTTCCTCGCTTCGCAGCTCGATATAGTTTATCGACAACGGTTTTGTTGCGCGCGACGTAACGTAATCTTCGATGATCTCGAGCGTGGCGTGTTTCGGTGGAATGTCATATGTTGTTTTCGCTCGGCAATCCAGAGAAAGAGTCTCGATTTTCACGGTCGGGCGGGCCGGGATTTTTCGTTTCGTGATTTTTCTTGGGGCTCTGCAGGAACGGCGAAGAAAATAGCGAGCGAGGGGGAGGAAACGCATATATATATATATATATATATATATATATATATCCTTGGGCTTTCGGTTCCAGACTATCGAGACCAAAACTATCTGAGGCTGCTGTTGCTCAGTCGTCCCTGCGGGCCGCGTTTTCTCTTTTTCCCGAGTGCAAGTTCTATTGCGTTTTTCCTTTGTCTCCCTATCGATAGGCTGATTGTGACGTTACTCCGTCAAAGTATTCCAATGTGTAGGTCCATAGTATTTATTTATAGGCGATACAGTTTTTCTATTCGTCTAAATAGGGTCGCGTCTATGAGAGATAAATAGTATTCATGCGCGCGAGCGAGATATATTACTGCCATTTTTTCGAGATAAGCAAATCCTTGCCAGACGCTTCCTTCCGGGAGCGATTTTGTGGAAAGTCAATAATAATGTCGGTGTCCCGTAATTCTTAAAGACAAAAGTAGTTAGCGTTGAGACACAGATATTTTAAGAGAGTGCAAAAATGAATTCGTGGAACGCGCTGCAAGGAGATGTCGTATTTAACGCGTCGTTTTAATCACAGTACGCGCAAATTTTCGACTCTTTATCGTGTGTATTTAACGCTCCATTTTGTCGTATTTTGCGAGCACACATCACTTCTCATTTTCAAAAAACTCAAATACATTTCCGCGGAAGGCGGGTCATCCGTTGAATCCAACTATATTTAGCTGAGATTAAATTTCCATTCAAACACTCTCAGCAGAGTGTTTAAATATATAACAAATTTATAAAAATATATAAATAACAATTGATCGTATTTTTTAAATTGATCGAACCGATAAAAATTGTTTATATAGAAATATTTTAAAGTTTAAAATCACAAGTTATATATATCTCATTGAATTCTAATCTTCACAGATTTACATATATTAATTTTGTATATTTATCTTTATTTGGAACTTTGCCTCTCCTTTTACAATTGGCGTATCAAAATTGTCCAAATTTGAGTAATACTCCGATGATCAAACTCGCGCCAACTGTTACGTACATTGACAGCTGTTACGAGAAGTTTCAGTCTGGATTCAACCGCGTTTCCGCCTTCCACTCTAGTTGGCAGAATCTCTAATCTTCGATCGGGTGTCCTCTGTGCAGCTTGCTCCTTTCGCGGAGAGAGCACGCAACGGTACAAGATTATCGTGTATACATATTACGATACGATATAGATAGTGTTTGTCGTCGTTGTCACGGGGAGGGCCACGAGTTTTTAAGAGAGGACGACTCTTTCTCTCGTGGAGGTTGTTTTGCATTCCGACCAAAGGGAAAATTCCCATTTTCCTGCAGCGCGGTAAAACGTGGCGCATACGACGGCCTAGAAAAAAAAAAAAAAAAAGAAAGGCCGCAGCCATTTAATCCTTTTTACTTCGTATATATAGATAGGGAAAGGCAGAGCGAACTCGCCGAATTTGGTCCGGGGATGGAATATATAATATATATACATATACATGTCGGAGGAAAAAATTGAAAGTGAGAAAACACGGCGCATGTACATAGTCGCTTTTTTTCGGGGCCGTAAAAAAACGCGATAATGTTCGAGAACTACGGTTTTACTCCCCGATATATTTTTTTTACTTTTTTTTGTTCGTTTTTTTTTTTTTTTTTAGATTAATCGCTCTGTAAAAGCACTTAGGTAGTAGTCAGCCATATTGAGGATATAATAATGATATATAAATAAACGCATATAAAAAAATATATATATTATATATAATATGAAGATATATATATAAAATCATATATATATATATATATATTTTAAATGGTATATATTCGGGGATATTATTGTTTCGAGAGAGAGAGAGAGATGATAACCCGTTGTGCGGCGAATGATAGAGAATCGTATATTTCGATGGGGCCGTTTGCCCGAAGAAAGTATAAACGGGGGAGATGGTGTTATAAAGGGTAGTGGAGAGGCGATTCTTTGGAGATTGATGAAGGTCGAAGGACCGTAAGTCGAAGGTGGGAAATAAGCTGTAACTGTGACTATGCGGATCGTGGGGGGCAGGCTGTTGATACGCTTACTCGCAAGAGAGATGTGACACCTGGGATAATTTAAACACAAATTTCGAATCACACACAACGTGGAAGGACACGAGAAACGCGGTCTTCTCGTGAATCTTCCTGCGTTGACATAGGGAAAAAAAAACAAGAGTCCGCAGCATATGTATATATGTATGTATTTTGCACGCGCAATATATAAGAGTAAGACAAAAATACACACGCATACAAACACAATGTAACATAAAGAATGCAGCGGTAGATGCAGCCCGCCCACCCGAGATCCCCGCGCGTCAAAGCGTCACTGTGATCTCGTAATTATTAATAAAATATCCGATTATTAACGAATAATCATATTGAATACTATAATACATCCCTCCCCCTTTTTCCGGAGACACGATTTTAACGTACTTTCGCAATTGCGGTTGCACTTTTCTCTCATTGCATTTCTTTGTCCCATCTTGTTCTGTTTTTTTCTCTTTTTTTATTTTATTTTTTACGCGTTCGCGCGCGCGCGTTAGTTTGTAGCAATCTCGTAAGATTAAGTATATATGTTAATGAATCTTTCATATGATCTCCTGGAGGTATCGATTGTTACGCGAATTTAGCTGCCGACGCCGTTCGTTTCCGCCCGTCCGCGCGCTAAAAAGTCCTTTTTTCTGCCTCTTTCTCATTCTCGACTTTTTTCGTACCCTCTCAGTAAACGGTTCGTCAAAACGAACGGCATCAGCGCTCGATTGGCCGATACCTCGGTTAGTTAAAGATAGGATTATTAGGATTAAAGAGAGATAAACCATTATATTCGACGTGAGGCGAAGGATAACGGCGTTGTTGTAGCGATCTTACTCGGATAGCTAGGTTTATAACAACGAAAGAAACTGTTTATCACTGCGTTCGCACTCAGTAATCATCTACGACATAGTACGATTATTATTATTATTATTATTATATGTATTTTTGATTATTTTATTGATTCTATTATTATATACTCGTCGCAAAACATGTGAAAGCTCGAGGTCTCAAACTCCCCGGCGCTGTAAAGAGATAATCGACTAGTCTTATCGGACCAATTGAGATTCGTGTATTTTTGTTTAACGACGCATATTTTCTAAGATCGAGATTTCCCTCTCATACATGCATATATATATATATATATATATATATATATAGATATATATATATATATATATATACATACATACAAATATATATATATATATACAATATCTATATATATATATAAAATATATCTAATATAAAAAATAAAATCCTGAATCGAGAAGAGAGTAATCGAGTATCGAGTTCTATCTTTCGCGCGAAATTATGAATCTCTGATAAGACTTTTCTGCGGAATATTTTATTCGAGAGATACACTGACATTTGCATTTTTTCACAAGATTACACTCTTCTATCACTAATAAATTGTTATAGTATCTAATGCACGCAGGAGAGATAATTGATTTTTTTAGCATATTTAAACCAGAGAACCCAAAAACTTGCATTTTACAATTGCTATACCATCATCTTTTCACGCTGAGAAGCCCCTCTTACCTTCCGATTCAAATAGCACGCAAATTTGAATGTACGGAGACATACGAACTCGTTGTACACAAAGTTACACATATATATGAGTATATACACACGTGATATGCATATTACATGATTACACACCAACATACACGGACATACACTTACCCTTAATACTATTGTAATTGTGTAAGGTCTTATGAGAAATTTTTCGTTTGCTCAGACTGTATAAGTTTGCCATAAAATGACTGTTGTACGTTCTTCGGATATGTAGTACTCGTGTCTAGAAGTAAGGGAATTTATTCGCGATTCTGTCGCCCCAGCCACAGTCAGGTGCCAACCGTCGATCACGGTTTCGTTCTCTTTAGCGGAGCGCGCTTTGGAACACGTAACAGTGAACCCTCGGCCCTCCGATATCAATAGGCCGATCATTTGTGTGCCACTTGGAAAACCCCGCTTTTTTCTCCGAGTCTCTCGAGTGTAACTCGCTCGACTCGATCGAAATACGTATCTCGATTTCATTCTCGCCCGTCGATTTTTTTTAGTATTTTATAGCGCAACACCCACAATACAACACCACATACAGTGTCGTCTTATTTCATTTCTTTACATCACGAACTTTCGAATATTATATATACAAACACGATCAGAGAATATCTATCTGTATTCTCGATCAATTTTGTAAATATAATTAATCTTTTTTTTTCTTCGAGGACGATTGAGAAAAAGAAATCTCTTTCTTGGAAAATATATTCCAATAAGAAAGTTTTATTGGAAATTCTTTGCGTGATTCGCAAATCATTATCGCATTTGTTTGATAGAAATCTTTCAATATTTTGTTCAGTATGCGTAATCTGTTACTTGATAGAAAAGTTGATCGAACCTAAACGAGAAGCGAGCGAGTCATACTCGGCGGACCATCTTCGCCTATCTCTTTGCTATGTAATCTTTTGTGCTCTACTTAAAATAGCAAGAAGCTCGTAAAACTCTGAATGCCTACAAAAATACGTTACCTGTAGCCAAATGTCCCGTGGACCATATAGACCGCCGCGATCTATACGTTATTTGCGAAAGAAGAAGGAAAAACGATAGAGAGATAAAGAAAGAGAGAGAGAAGAAGTATTCAGATCGATCGAGCGTGCGTGAGATCGTATGAAAGGGATATAAAGAAAGCGAGAATGAGAGAGAAAAAGAATAAACTTGATAACAAAAAAAAAAAAAGAAAAAGAAAATAAGAAATTTTAACCGTTAGAGTTTTTCCTCCGCCCCAGAACGAACTGTTGTGGGGTCTCTCAAGTCGTATGTAAAGCTCGTAGCTGCCTTGTGATAGAGTCTGGACTGCAAATAATTCCGACACACGCGACAGAGATACTATGTAAATCAGGCTGTAAAGAGACTGTCAATGGAATACGGCGATCTATGTGTATCATAAAATGTATAATGTAAAACGAAACACAAAAACACATTAAAGACAATACATCTCGTTGATCAATTTTCGTCCAGCTGACCAATCCAAAGAAGCGACCAAATAAGTGAGGAGGGAAATGATGCGAGCGCTTTGCACGACACTTGAGGTACTTTTCTTTTTCTTTCCTTTTTTTTCTATCGACAACCTGCGATATTGAGATGCTATATGCGTGTGTCCGTATATATATTTTTTTTCTTTTGTTCTTTTTTTATTTTTAGATATATATACATATATATGTATATCTTTCGTTTTTTTATTTTTTTTTGCTTCGATTATCCCGATGGGAGTGATTGGACGGAAGATGTACGGCGGTCACGTGATATATATATATATATATATATTATACAAAATATATGGTATTATGTAATAATCTTCCTTCTTTAGTGCAGATGTGAGCGAAAGAGAGCAGAGTACTGTTGATTTATTTTTTGTTTTTAGTTTTTTGTCTCTCTTCTTTATCTCTCCTGATAATTAATTTCAATCGTTTCGACTTTCTCTCGTAACGATCCACTTGTTTCCTTCGTCTCGTGCAACTCGACTTTACTTTCTTTTTTCTATTTTTTTATTTTTTTCGCGATTTGTTTCTCCTCGCCTCCAATTAAATTTCGACTTAAGACGCCGGCTCTCTGAGCGGTCCAGGAGTGTTTTCGAGGCGAGGAGGAAAGACCCAGAGCAGAAAACCTCTCGAGCTCCTCTTATCTCTCTCGTTGTTTCTTCCCGTCTCTCCGACCTGGAGCAGCGACGGAAGCGAGAATGTCGTTAATAATCAACAGAATGCAGAGATGCTCAAGAGAATATATCTCGTGCTCTGTTTTTTTTTTCTTTTCTTTTTTTTTGTCACCTACCGTTTCTTCTCCATCTTTTTTCCCTCTCGTACCCTCTTCTCTCCTCTTTCGCGTCTTATTGATGTTTTTAGTTTTTAAACGAACGTATGGTCGCGCGATCGTCGGAATGTGCTTCGGCTTCTCTGGCGCGAAACTGAATTCGCGGGATACTGCCAATTATCTCCGAATTGAAAAAAAGGAGATGAAAGTGATAAATGAGAAAACAAGAAGAAAATGCACAACGAGAAGCCGATGCATAAATCCGGCGCGTGGATCTAATCATACAATGCTGTGCTATCATAAGTCATTACATATACCATATGTTATCGATACTTTTGGTTTTAGTTTATGACAATTTTTCGTGTTATTAATTTTATTGAGTATGATTTTAAGTACTATGTGCGCGAACGTTTATGATTATTATTATTATTATTATTATCTATTGATAGATTATTATTATTATTATTATTATTGCTGGATTTAATTATTATTATTATTATTATTATTAATATTGTAATATTAAAAAAAGAGAATATCATTACTATTATGATTATATTATCATTGTAATCTTAATATTTTATAATCATCACCACCACTCCCCATGGTCGATTACTTTTACGAATCGCTCTCGCGTCCGCTGTCCGACCGCCGGTCGACGTTGCGCCTCTCGACGGGGCCGCTGTCGCAACGAGAGAAGCGAGTCCGACTTACTGACACTGTGCACTTTTGTTCTTCTCCCCCGTGTGTGCTCTCGTTTCTGCTTCTCTCGTGACGCGCGGCGCCTTCGAGGCGCGACGACGACCATTGGGAGTTCGTAAAAGGACGGGGGCATCTCTCCGCTACCCACCATGTCTTTCATTGTACAGATTTTTTCACTTTTATATAGTTATCTTGATATATCGTAACGTTACGCAACGTCGATTGCGGCGGTGGCCACTTATGCGTCGCCGTACTATTGTACTTTTTTGATTTTTTGAATAAATGTGAACACGCCGAAAGCATTGACACACGTGTCTTGATAATTTATGTCTCATCGTGCTCCTTCACCTCATCCCATTATCACTTTACGCTAGACTAAGCGAACATTTTAATTACGAATGCATAGAGATGAATTAATAATCCAAGGTGTACGTCGTAGGTAAATTTTGTTTTCATTAATTTATCATTTCGAATTAATGTTAATTATGTTGATGAGAGAGTCCTAGAGAGAGCGTGATTATATATAGATGAAGTAGACACCTTGGTTGCCCAATTTGTATCGATCTGCATGGGTCGGTCACGGTGTTTAGAATCGTTCTAATGGGTTTCCTGAGACGTGCCATCTGCGAGGCTCATTATTAAGGGATGCGACCGCAAACCAATCGAGCGTTATGCCCTATTCTATTCAGTGTTCTGAATCTAATGCGGACCGCAAGACGTTGGGTTGCCGGGTTGTTCTCTATGTCGGATTAGAACGTGGCAATTGCTTTGTATATAACGGGCCCGGACAACGGTATACGCAAATCAGGAAATTGAAATATTCATGGCAAATTGGGAGCTATCGATGTTCTCCAGCCTATGCGGAAGATTTCTCGGCGAGGTAAGTAAGATATCAATTTCATAATACATCAATAGTCTTGTTTAAAAACCGAAAGACGAAATCAATGGTAACGCGCGGTGGCGCATTGCGCAAATTTCATCATTAAGAGAGATTTTCCGTGTGTATCGCGTTGCGTCAACAAAATTGCGTATCGGTGGTTTCGAATAACGAGGATACGCTGCCCGCGTGGACCCGCGAATTTTTCTCCCCCTTTCCGCGATCCTCATTTTTGCTGCGATTTTCACTCGCGTGTCTCTCCGTGGATTAACTCGATCCGAAACAACAGCAAACAAGAGAGCGCGCATATTCAGCGTGTAACTGAAAAAAAAATCACGCCGATGCAACAGCGCGTGTGGAAAATATTCGCGCTTCGCTATGTTTTTAATAACGCCGGCTATATATCGGAAACGCAGGTGCGGAAAGTCGAATAAAGCAGAAATGCGCAAATCGAAACATAGCAGGCTATATGAAATATATATATATAGCGGCCAATGAAACAATAGATTTAATTGAACGCGCAAACTATTGCGTATATCGGTTATATATGTATTCTCTCATGCTGAAAAATATCCCGAGTCGAAATATTTTCAAATTCAATTTTTAATCTAACATTTACTTTGATACTTGCAATCAAATTACTTTTTATAACCATTATTTATATTTGTATATATTTTGCCGAAGGTTTCTTTAAATATCCAAATGAGAAATTATTTATTAATTTAAGATGAAAAATTAATTTCTTATATGAGAAACAAGTCTACCGAATTCTATCAAATCTATAAATGTGAGAAAATTAACTTGAAATCTCATCGCGCATAGATAATTGAAAGACTACTTGTCACTATAGTGAGAGTCTTTATATGACGAAGATGATTGTCTCTTAACTTATTATCAAATTAAAAATATTCTGTTCATTTTTGTTAATTACTCGAATATTCGAAATCGTTCGTCTATAGGTAGATGATAAAATCGCGAACAAAATATCTCCCTTTCCCTCTTAATACGAGGTCCGCCGTTCGCATTCTCGATCGATTCGGAAACCGCGTGCAAACAACGCGGAAGCGCGCGTTCGAGCGGCGTGAATGAAAAATATATTCGCAAATCTGTACGTCGGCGCCGGTGCATTGCATCGCATGTGATAGTCTCTCGGAAATCGCGGAGGAAAACGCATAGGGAGTGTCGGGGTCGGGGACGAGAGTTAAACCGAGTGCACATGTCGCCAAAAGCGCGCGTGTCACCGGGTAGAGAAAGCGCCTGTATATCTGGCGTGCATCCATATGCAGATCCCCATTGATATGACAACATTTACATACTGCATATTCGCTCTGGGCCATATACTCGCATCGCCAATTCCCCATTGTTGGCTTTCGGCCACCAGTGCGTTTGATTGACATTATTGGTCGCGCCGCTGACACCAGATTACATTTCTATTTGCATACATTCGCGAACCAGTTTGAGTCCACCCGCTCGCTTACGTGTAACGTCGCCCTCTCGTAGTAACGTTGTCCCTCGTCATCTCGTTTTGCGTTTTCGTTCGCGTTGACGATTGGATAACGATTCTCGTCGCGCTCTTCTCGCACGTGTCATATTTTTACAAGTGCGATAGATGCCGATGATTTAGCAGGGGTGGCAGTTTTTCCCCAATTTGGCTTCGTAGCAAGACAATTTGTTACGCATTTAAGGGTGGTTCAACAATATATTTGCTATTCATTGACAATCACGTCACAGGGAATAAATCCAAATAACTTCTCTGTCTCATTATTATAAGACTTCATTGTTTGTAATAAATTTTGTACAAAATTCATACATAAGAAAAATGCAAATATTTCTTACCTTAGTAATGGTCGAAAACCAATCGATAAAAAATTGACAAGCGAATATATGTATATGTAGTCTAGAATAGACAGCACGTAAATGTTGTATCAATTTTTACACATCATAAAATAAATATACATGTGAATAATTTTTTATCAATAAAATTGTATGTATCGCAAATTATTACATAAGCATTTTTTTATAGACGTGTAATCGTTCAGCTTTGTGTGAAAAATATCTATCGCAGTGCCCTTTAATCGTCATGCAGCGTGAAATGAGTGCACGTGTCGATATTTTCCACCGATCGCACCGTGTTGCGCTATCAAATAGAGATTTTTACATATTTGGTTCCGATGAGAGGGAGGCAGGAAGATCGTGGCTTCCGTTCGATTAGACGTCGTTGCGAAAGAAACAATGGGCAGTCAGCCACAAAAGGGCGCGTGTCGGGCGTTAGTGGGTTATGGCGGTTAGCCCTTTATTGGTGACCCTTCGGCCTGTGAAATATGAACGTCGTCGCTTTTGTCCGCGGATAAGCGCCTCACGCCGATATTAAATACGCGCGTCGCGGATGGTGAGTTTTATCCGCGAAAATTAGACTATATGGGTAACTACTCTCGCGGAATAGAAGCGACACGCTCGATAGTGTGGACTTTGAATGGATTGGGGATTGATTGTTCTTGATCATTTATTAAGTTCTAATCGTACGTGGGAAAGCGAGTACTTGATAGAAATTACATTATTTTTTTTATTATATTTTATTAAAATATATAGAGGCAAAAAGGCGTAAATAATTTCGCATCTTAATAGCATTACATCATCACGCACTTATACAATTTCATTGCACCCAACGATTGTTAAAATTTGTTCAGAAATTGTTAATAAAATTAATAAGGAAGAGAATAGTAACCTTGTTTAAAAAATGTGAAGCATAGTTTAACACAATAAATTTTTAAGCAGTAATCTATTGTATTTCTCACGGTCTTATAAGACCGTGGTATTTCTAATGTTATAAATTATGTTATACTATGTATTCTGTTGAATTTAACAATTTATAAAAATAATTTTATTTTCTAAATCTAAAACAATATTTTTTAATATATATGAATATCATACGACTTGAACGTAATACGATGAATATGTGAATACGATTTTGATGTTGCTTAAATGGTATCGATTGCAAATATTTATAATTTCCTTTTTATAATATTGAGAGATTAGTAAAATTAATTTTTTTAATTGAGAAAGAATAAAAAGTATATCCATCTTTATAACAAGACAATAAAAAATACGTCATAATGTGTCAAATATGATACTTTTTTTTATATAAGTGATACCATGTAGACTATTTTACCGTATAATCTTATCAACACACTCACACATACACATACAGAAAACTTCAAAGAAATAACTAGAATAGATAAAATTGAGAGTTGATATAAACCCACTGCGTAGTTAAATACACAACGGCGAGAATATATATACCCGCCAATGTTACAAGCATACTTTCTATCGTTGCAGTGGTAAACAGTCACACCATGCGATCGGACAAAAAAGCCGCAGAGTGACTTAACGCGTGCGGCTTATTGCGTCGCGGGCATTGCACGGATTTTCTCAGCTTCGCGCGTAGTAGATCTCACTCTCGCTCGTGCCACGCGTGACTTATTTTCTGCATACGTCAGGTGTCTCGCGCATTTTCTGCCGAGCGCGCGTGGCATATACCCTAACCGGGTTAGACGAATGGAACGATCTAAAATGATTCAAGGTGACGAAACGTGACGATCGTGTGGTTAACGTTAAAATGCGGTGACTAACTTGGATAGATAAGGATTAATTACGTAGAAAACTTGGCTCCTTTATTTGTGACACGTACGTATATAGGTATTGTATTGTAATTATATTGTATCTATTACGTGTTCCAGCAAAGGAAAGTTATATACACGAGTACTGCTTTTATTTGAAGTTCCATTTGTATTTTCGAATCAAATTTTTTTCCTTTTACAATATGATGCAAAGTGCTTGCAAGGTGTGATCTGATAAATATTTACTTGAATAAAATAAGACTTGAGAGAGCCAGGAAACGCGGGACTATATAGCTTCTGCGGATACGATAAAACACAATGTGAGTCATGCTAATTTTTTTAAATCAATGTGCATATCTTTGGGCTGGCAAACAATGCAACGAGTGAAAAGCGCCGTACACCGGTGGTGCTTATCTGAAAACGTCCGATAAGAATGCGAACTTTTGCGCGATGTAAGCGCAGTACAATTTCATAGATTAACTCATGTCTAAAATAGTGCTGTGAATCATCAGTTTTTGATTGCATCGATATCAACTTTTCTCTTATCAATATCTAATCAAGTATCATACATTTTTCGATAAAATTTTTGTAGAATGATGAAGCGATAAAATTATCAATTTGAGAAATGTGTAACAATTGACAAATGCGTAACTACTTTCCTTCTACTTTTAATTTCAATTTGCAACATCTAACATCTACTTTAATACTGCAGCAGCTTAGTGTTCTCTCTTTTAAACTATTTAATCTATAGTTTTGAATTGAGGTTGAATGAGGAAACAAATTTCGATTTAGAAATTTATATATCTTCCCAAAAATATTATATGAAATATTCTAGGTAATAAAATATGCATAGTGAATCCATGTTTTCACAACGATGCCGATAACAATAGCAACAATATTCCACAGATTATATAACTTGATTCATAAGCATCCTAACCAGGCGTGTTGCTCGACCATGTTCTGCGACGAGGACCCAGCTTAAGAGGGTCCGAACACGGTCATAGCGCGTTATATCAAACCTCCTGATAACTCGCACGCCACATCGGGATGCTCCACGTGGCGGGTCATGAATCAGCCTTCGGAGACAACCTCGCTGGTGCAGCAACGGGCCGATACGCCCGGAGAGCAGGCATTTAATCACGCGGAAAAGCTGACCGAATAAACAGCGGTCGATCTACTAGGCTAGGTGAACGAGGCGATACGAGAATGGAGCTTGTACCAGCGTGTACACAGGTGCGAGCCACGCGACGCTGCGTACGTGCGTGCGTGAGTACACGATTGTACGAGACATATATGTATATACACACACATACACACATCGTACCTAGCCGCGAAAGGAGAGAAGCTGTCGTATCGCTAGACTGCCTGTCGCCCGTGGCTCTTTATCGGCTTTTTCTCCGACATGACTATCGTCCTTGGCAGCCGGTCAACCGATAATGCATTGATTCATTTCCCGTGATATGTTATGTTACATCAGGTATCGCGAAGACAGGTCATTCTTTTGCAGATGCTAGTCGAGGAGTCTTCTTCCTGAATCTATCTCTTGATCGGGAAGATCAAGCTGCAGAACGAGATCAAGCAACGCATGAAAAGAGTCAGTCTTGTGGAGGTACAATCGAGCTTGAAATTGAAGAAAAAGAAGCGCACCCCGAGGTACGAGAGGGTCGGTTAGAATAAAGTTGATTCTCGTATTCTACATAGAAGCAAGCAGTTTTGCTGCGCTCATTGTCCTCTTCTAATCGTTTCGTGCTCGAGCTCGGAATGACTGGATGCAGACGAGTCGTCTAGAAGCGAGTTGTCCTGAAAACGGAGTAACTGTGGAACGGGGGTATACTTTGCGAAGGTAATACTAATAGCCTAGAGATGTTCCAAGGATGTGCGCGCACTTGTGGGCGGAAATGGTATCGTAAAGCGGCTATTATGACGCGGCTCGTCTTTTGTACGGATAATAAAGACGATGATGTTATTATTATTACTACTACTATTATTATAATATCGCGGCATGGAAAACACACTTGTTTCCCTGGTATCGTTACTCGAGAGAGCTTAACGTAAGAGACTGCCGGAAGGAACTTGAAAACAGGTTTACTGGGGAACAGAAGGGAGATGGTAAAATCCAGGAAATGATACTTAAGAAATGCTATATAATGATGAAAGTTTAAGTCGAAAGAGAAATATGATAAAATGTAATATATTGTGTCAGCTAAAAGAAATTAAAATTTAATTTATTGAAAGATCCTTCAAAGAAAGATATATTAATGTGTTATTATCAATAATTAATATATAAATAATTATCTTGTACAAAATATTTTTTACGAATTTATATCTCAGATTTTAAGATCGATATAATGCACCATTTGACAACTGCAGCGTATAATCGCCCATTTCCTCCTTCATTCTTACGTAATAGCAATACGTCAGCAGGTAATCTACCGAGAGATACGACGAAACTTTTAGACTATGGCCGCATAAATAACTGGCTCCCTCAATCTCATCATTCGTTTGCCAAAGAAGTTGCCAAGAATTTTTACGGACGATGGAAGAATTGTTGAATTTAACAGCTGCGCCAAACTTCGGATCAGCGGACCGTGAACAGACTCACGAGATGGCCCGTAAGAAGATTTCAGAAAAATATTGCCCTGCGGCGCAGTGTTTATGATTCCCCTTGCATCGCGAAAGCTTCAATAGATGTGATAAATATTGATAAACGCAATAAATATTAATGAATACGGCTTGAGCGATCTCCTTCCGTTTAACATTTACATCCGTTAAAAAAAATGCATAACGTATACTCCTCGAAATAATTATGAGATAAAAAATAGGCAAATTCTAAATAACTGTAACTTTGTTTTGAAAAATGAGAATTTAAATTTCAAAAAAGGAATTTAAAACTTGAAATCTCTATTTTCAAAAGATGAAAATGAGAAGAAATTTCAGACGATACCATTTTTTTAGTCACTTTATGTAACAGAAGGGAGAAAAGTCACAAATTTCTTTGTTATTTTTACCTGTTTGTAAAAAGTTCACGAGTTTAAAAAATTCAGTCATTATATCATACTATAGAGCAAAGATTCAGCTTTAAGACTCCATTCTTAAAATTGCTGTACGATTATTATTAACGGAGTTATGATTGTTTAAAGTGAAAATGAACATTTCTCTTTAATTTGCGATAACTCGATAAGGAAAAATCGAAATTTAAATTTTAAAACCCGATTTTGTAGGGAAAACTTCAGGCTTTAATGTAAAGATGTTAAAAAATTTTTTCAAATCTTCTTGTGTATACGATATGTTTACAAAGTGAAAAACTTTTTTCATTTTGTTATATTTGTCGTTTTCTGTATGGAAAAAATATCAAAATTGAAGAAAATGAAAAAAGCTATATAACCTTTCGAAAGTAGAGATTTCAAGTTTTAAAATCCCTTTTTTAAAATTTAAATTATCATTTTTTAAAACAAAATTACAGCTATTTAAAATTTGTCTATTTTTTGAACAATTTTTTGGTCCCTTAATTATTTTGAGGAGTATATATATACCTAATTGATTTTTCTCTTTCTTCCGTTTTATTTTTAACGTCTTATCTTTCCGTCTTGTTCTTCTTTTCTGACGTGGTCTCTTATTTTCCTCTTCGCCAGATTCCTCGCGACTTCTATTTCCTCCTTCAATCATCAACCCATCGGCCAACAAATCTCGCGCGGCGAAACTCGTTTCTAGCTCGTTTGCTTCGTATTTTGTATTTGCACAACTGTACAATATATTAGTACAGACCGTGTTTGGTAAGCAAAGAGAGAAATGTCGCTTTTTCTCTAGCCGGCGGGATCATTCGTTCGCTATAACAGCTTCCGTGATTCACGATGATCAGAATCGCCGCCGCGATTCTATCTCGCAAATGTTTTTTTCTCGATTCAGGCGTCGCGAAAATCAGCATCTGGCCCGTTTGTTCATCTCGCGATTCACGCCTTGCATAATTTGCATTGACGCGTCATATTAGCATATCGTCATTATCACAAATCACCGCGTGAATTATGGCTCAAGGAAAGGGTTGAATTATGCACGAAATTATTCGAACGCCGAATTTAAATGCGCCGTCCCGGAACATGGAGTCAAGTGATATTAATTGCCGTGACAAAAAGAGCCAAGGAGTCACGAGGAAGAGGGCCGCCTCTTCAGACGAAACTAATTGCTCGCAAAGAGACTCGCGTCACAGACATTCAAAGAGATGATTCGAAAGAATATCAAGCTAGGAAAGGAAGTGTGAAAGAAATGAAAAATCGTTCGTCGAAACTTTCTTGTGACCTAAAACAAGTGTCACATTTTACAGTTTAACGATTCGCTCGTGCATTAAAACACTCAAAGATATAAGTAATAGTATAAGATAAGTATTAGTATAAGATGAGTAATAGTATAAGATAAGAATAACTATAATATTCAGTACTAAAGAACGCTAAATATTATAAAGTATCTGGTACAAACAATGTAGTATTAACGTGCAGAGATAATTAGTGCGATAACGCGCATGTATATAAGATTTAATAAAATAAACGAAAGGTAAAGATTTTCGAGGCAGAGAGAGAAAGAGGAAGAGAATAAAAAAACGAAGGATCTTAATGAATTTCTAGGAAGCCAATAATTTCTCTTCCTAGATCGTATCGTGCGCCCCAGGGCTTTTTATTACGTTTCAAGTTCGTAAATGTGCAGCCGAGAATTAATTAACCACCTTCGCGAGCGAGCGAGAGCGGACAAAAATCATTCGCTTTCGTAATAAGACCGATAAGCGCAACGTAATTTATTGTTTTCTCTTTCGATACGCTGAAATTGATGCATTCATCATTATCCTGTCCGCGAGTGTATTAAGGTGCGCACCGTTACAATCGCTTGAGTATCGATTTTTTCTTAAATAAATGCTACGAAATAAGGAAGTGTCTGTATATTCGACGTATTCATTAATCACAATAAAATATTTGTGTAAGACGCGGTCATTGTTTTTCAGATCCCAGACTTTTAATTCGATAAAACTATATTTATGGAAAATGCAAATTGTGTGAGAACCGAACGAACGAAGGAGATCGACGTCGATGCCTTCTCGATTGCACTCGGGGATGATAATTATAGATTACCTTCGTGCATCGATACCCCTATTTAACCCGATTCTTCCAGTCGCAAAACGCGGTATTAATTAAGCACCGCTCCCGGGAGTAAGATTTATCTCTTACGCAACGCGGACATAATAATTAAAGCGCGGTGATTATCAGTCCGCGATCGGTATCTCGATTGTTTACGCTTCGAAAGGCCACGGTGGAACCGCTCGAAGACGTTTCACGCTCGTGCGTGCAGCAGCACGCAAAACGCTCTGGTCCCGGCTGTACAGAGAGTATAATTACGACTCTCGCTTTGCGGCAAGCCTTGCGAAATAGTCGGAATCTAATCGCCAGCGTATCGAGTCTCGATAATTAACGCCGTTTGATAATTAAGTGACTTCGTCGGCCGACCGGCTCGGCGAGGGAGATGAAACGGAATAGTCGCGTGCTGTTACGAGAGACGGTAGAGGGATAATCGGCTTATTTGTAGTGTCAGAGAGAGAAGAGAGAGAGAGAGAGAGAGAGAGAGAGAGAGAAAGAGGAAAACTCGCGCGCGTGTGTCATTCGAGATGCAGTGTCTCCCAAAGCAATTTTCTCGCGAAAATCGCCAATTTCTTGATGCTTGCTTTTGTCAGTTTCGTTACGACGAAACATGCATTTGCATTTTTAATTTTCAAAGTAATATGAGTCCTTGCATCGGTGATTTGCAAAAACATGTCGCTTTTTTAGCATTAGAAATGATTTTAAAATATATTTTTCTTAGAGGCAGACAATGTGAATATTTTTTTAAATATGAGGTACAAATATATGTCTCACAGAATTGTTAATCTTACTTTCCATTTAATTTTAGCGACTGGTTTGTCGTATTTCTTTGGCGAGAAATGTTTGAGAAACACTGTGTTATCGTCTAACACGTTTTGATGACAAGCTTTATTCTTGCTAAGCGATTAGCCGCTAGTTAATTCGTCGTAGTCATCTCGCGAGAAGAGTTTAGTCTCGATCAACTAATATTATATTATCGCAACACGTAATATGCATGTATCCGAATGAATAAGTATATTAAAACTTTGAAAATGAGAAAGTAATTGATATCATTATGCAAATAGCAAGAATAGACGGAAGGAAATATTACATGTTTACCTACTGATGCAAGATATTGATTTTATATATTCGAAAAAATACAACACCGTTAATAAAACATATTTATAAAAAATATCTACATGCATGTTCTAACTCGACATATGATATTAATTATAACAATATATTTATTATCCAATTTTCGCAAAGCGAACAAATTCACTCATTTAAATCAAATTAAGAAATTGCGTGTCGAAGACAAATAAATGATTTATCAATAAATATACATGTCGGCTTCATTACTTGTAAAGCGACTTAACCGGTTTTTCCTATCTTGTATATATTAAATTGTACATAGTGCATGTTTGTGTGGTGACAATATGTAATGAGATATAATGTATACAATAATAAAAGGTGAATTATATTTAATAAAATATATATGTAATTAACATCTTTATTGCAGTGAGATAAAGAAATGTAATAATATGTAATTATATAATTATAATTAAATGGAGATTTCAAATATAATATTTCATTTTAATAGAAATATATTAAAACCTTATCTTTTTGAAACTATTGCTTTGAAATATTTTCCAATTAATCATTTTATTCATTAATTGATATCTCGCTGATAAATCACAATAATCTTTTAACGTGTCTTTTAATTTGTCATAAGAATATCAGCGTAATGATATTGCAAGCAACGCGTTGAATGAAAGTCATTCAAGATCGTCGACCGCGAAAAAAGAAACCATAAATCTGTCATAAATATTATTACAACCATGCGTTATTTAAAACGCGAAGGAACGATCGAATTATTTTCTCATACTTTTCGCTGCAATTTTTAAATAATAATTTCCTGCCTTTACCGATACTTGCCTCATCCAAGTATTGTGCGAAACTGCATTGATTCGCATTTCACGAGCGCAAGTCGTTACGTGATTTTTTTTTAAACTCCACGAATATAAGTTAATGGAATTTAAACGGCAGGACTTATATGCATGCCCATTCAGCAACGTACATCAAGAATCGCAATTACGTTCTGCGGAAGTAAAAAAACGGCAATATAATCGTGCGATGTGAAATGTACACACAAAACGACCACATAGGGGTGAAAGGCTAACAATCGTTAATTCGGCTTGAAAAGAACGAGTGGAAAGAACGATCGGTGGCGTGAAGTCTATAATTACAGGCCGCTGTAAACTGCAGGTTTGGCGTGTGCTTCTTTATTAGTGGCGAATGCATGTGTAATATAGCGATGAGTTTCATATTTGAAACATTTCGAATAAAAAGATCCGGAACAATAATATTATAACGTAATAAAGACTTCCTCACGTGTGACGGTCAAATTATAAGTATGTAATATTTAGATTCTCTATAAATTACATTATATTATCAAAAAACAAACAATTATGCATATATATCTTCGCCGGTGTATTATACGAATCTCTCAGAAGTTAAACCTATAATAGGTAAGTTAAATTAATCGGAATGAATCGTTTAGCTTCTGAGGGATTCATATAATTACATTTGCAAGGATATATAATTGCAGTTGCGTATCTGAGATGAAAAGCTCCGAG